AAGGCGAAGGGAAAAATGTGATCGAAAATCATTTCTCAAGCATTTTCAAAGCAATAAACTTAGCACCTATGGGAAAAAGAAATATGCAATAAATACGATCTTTTTTTGGAGCAAAAAGCTGACACTAAGGGACACTTTTTTTTAACTATGACTACTAAAACAGCTTAAACTATACACCGAAATAATAAAATGAAATATTACAGAAAGCATTGGTCGTCTCTGGCTGTACTGAGCAGCGTAGTACGCCTGAGGCAGCTGCTGCGCTTGAGCACCTCCTTGCTGCTGCTGCGGCTGCACGACCATCTGCTGATGCCTCTCGATATTTACCTAAAATTACAACCACACTTGTTCATAACGTAATATTAAATGCTTAACTCTATTTATTCTGATAATTTGATTAGTTGTCGATTTACTGTAGCGCACTTTTGCCCCTCATAGCTAGTACCTTTCCACAGTTACAGTAAAAAACTACATTATTGGGCAGTAGGTCCGTTATTTTGCCAAAAAACACTTCTTTTTTTTCATCTATTCGTTCAAAAAAAAAAAAAAAAACTGCCAAAGTACTGGGTGGTATTCTGACGCACGTAGGGCCTTTCCAGAAAAAAGGAATTATGCCCATCAATAATGGTAACATTGATGAGTTTTCTTTTCCTTTTCTCTTCAATGAACAAAAGGTGTGCTAGCGCATCTGGATTTCCACATCATCCGTGAAAACCTGGTACTCTTGGAAGTTAATGACAGTACCTCTTGTTGCATTGGCCGTATTTGTTGCTGCTGCTGCTGTTGCTGCTGTTCAGGATGCGAATGCATTGAGGTAGGAGTTAAATGAGAAGCTTCCACCGGAGTTGCTGCACGCATGCGACACGGCTGCACTGATGGACCAGCACTGCCCTGACTCACATACGAATATTGCGAATAGCCTGAAACATAAAGCTAATTTTGAGAAAAACCGCATATCTCCTCAGTCTAATTCGAACAAAAATAACATTTTCAGTGTAAATCTTCTCAAACACCATCTGAACCAATTCATCAAATCTTCACATTACTAAAATACTCAGTCGGTATTCAATCCTCACAACCGAATTTTGTATTACTCGCATCGCTAACAACGCCGATTTCTGCGGTCTGAACATTCATCCATCCTAACTGCCATAAGACAAAGCCATAAATACTGTTCCGTTCTAGGACTAGCCACTTCTCACTATGTTTCCATGGAAAAAATGCGTCTTCGTAACTAAAACAAACCATTACTACCTCATACCCAATTCATTTACTACTGAAAATGATGAAAACGCTTAAAATCTCTAACAATACAAATCCAGGATAACGGAACTAAAAAAAAACAGCTGTGGTCCTTGTATTGCAAAAATTTAACAACCGCGCCTATAAGTAGCTAAATTATCGGATTTTCTGCATGTCCCATAATTTCTAAATTTTATACATTCACACCGAAACACATGTATCATGTAGCATTACTGCTTTCTGCATTTTTACGCGTTTTTTGCTGCAACAGTTGCATAAAACGCACACTGTCCTGGCCCTCCGTGTGTGCGGGTGTATGTGTGTATGCAAATGTGTGTGTAATTCAACTGTACTTTGTCTGTGGTTTTCTTCTCACACATCAAGTAAACTAGAAAGCTGGATTCTTAAGACCCGTAGCTCAAATGTAACCCTGCGATTTTAAGTTCACCTTTCATGCCCACATCTCATCTACGGTCACGTGGAGTTTCTGCAGGAAAATTACCAACTCGAAAATCAGAAGTGGGCAGCTAAAATTAAAGCAGGATGTTAGAAGCTCCAAATTCAGCTCAGGTCATGCGTACGGAAGCAGTGCGTATTTTTAATAGCAAAAATAAAAAGCAGTTCGTACTAGAATAGCTGGCGCAATTATGCGTTTCGTATAGTTTCGCCCATCATCTGCTCTAGTATGGCTGCTATTTATTTATTCTTTCTCTTTTTCATAACTTCTACGC